TAACAAGACTTTGTCTCAAAAAGCTTTTTTGAACTAACGCCGTTGACTCACAGAACCTAGAAAAACCATTTTGAGAAGTGTACCGATTACTAAAGGGAATTTCGTACCGATCCGTGCCACCTCATAGGACAACACGCGCATTTTTTTATGCCGTTTTGTGGAAACAGCATTAGTTGAATGAAATGGAAAGACATCAGTCTGAGTTGCGCATGATTTTTAGTTTAAGATCTTTTTATTCGACGTGTTTTATAGAAGCTTTTTGTTTTCAGGAGAGTTTATTTACTACATAAGACTTATCTTAAAGATGTGATGCGAATGAATTGATCCTAGATGTACTAGGTATCATCGCTTATATTGACCTTGACACCATGCAGAGAGGTGTCCCAACAGCACATGCTGCATAGGTTCGAAGGAATTTGCGTAGAAACGAGTTTTTCGTCGTCGCCGCTATTGATTAAACAGCGATCCGTCTCTAGTGTGTGTAGTGAGTGACCGTTTGATGGACATTGCTAGTTAGATAGAGAGCTCCTTTCCCCATAAGTTCTCGCTGCAGGATGTGGCTGCTGCGATATTTTCAGACGTTGGTGCATATATCGATCCATGAACTGTGTTCTAATCCAGATAGTTGTAGCAGTAAATGTTTACAGCGCACCCGCTGAGACCGTCACCTCCACAACCACAGTCACTACGGATCAGCCCTCGATTGCCGATATTGAGCCGGAAGAGTCCTCAGTGGATGCTGCGGAAACTCCGGATGCGCCCACTCCTGATACGGAAGAAGAGGAACGGCGTAAAGCAGAGGTGAAGATATTGTCAAGGCTACCTTTTCCACCCTTTTCTATTTTTTATGTATAAAAATACTTCGATATAGGAAGAAGAAGAAAGGAGGCGACAACGAGAAGCAGAGCTTGATGCTCAGTTGCATGCCTTGGAAGCGAATCCGGCTGAAGTGGACAAAGAAAATCTGATTTATGGAAGAGCATTTCTTTATTGTGTTAGAGACATTGAAAAAGTGAGTATTAAGGAACTTGATACAATGAGGTCAAGTTTTATTGCTTATATTTTAGGAGTTTAAGCGATGCCCATGTCCACTTAGTCATGATGTAATAGTAAAGCTAGGTATTGACCTAAATTCAATGCCTAAAGGAAGTGATAACAAGAAGCAGCACAATTTTATACCACCATGGATGAACCCGTCTCGACAACCGAATAAGCCATCGAATCGACCGGTGAGTATTCATAGAGCTCCCCAATGTCTCCT